GTTCTGGTCAAAAGGATGCCGTGCCAAACTAGGAACATTTGCTGCTTCAAGGAGGTGGACCATGACAGTGAGTCCTCAGAACATGAGAATGCAGTGGAGTGTAAAGATGAGTTATCAGAACCAAGAATCGTAGTAGAATGCAAGGATTCCACACAAACACCCAGTGACATGACAGATGATGACCTGTCAGACTTGGATAAAGAGATTTCTCCCATCCAATTCACCTCAACCGATGGTTCTCCTGCATTAGATGCACAAAACTCTTCAGTTCCACTATGGAGAAGCATAAGACAGAAGCAACTGCTTCCTGGCTGTCACCCCTGTGATCAAGAGATGAAGGGGGAGTGTAGTAATGCAGAGCATGGCTTGCCTAGTATGATGTGTGTTCAAGTTGCCGCAGCTGTAGCAGGAAATCCGGTTCGAGACGTATGGGTGCACATGCACGGTGACCATCATTTTATGAAATGGACATCACACATCTGCAAATGTATTAACAACTGCTGCTTACTATATAAGTGGCTACATTGCTTGCTAGCAGTGAGAGGGAAATCTGAAGACAATGCTAGTGGTGTTTGAGAAAGTGGTAAGAAAACATAGGCAGAAGACTCTTGCAACTGGAACATTGGTGTAGAGGGATTTTATATCTAGACTGGCCATGCGTTTGTTGGTCATGTTTATTTCCCATAGTTTTTCAACTAAGCTGCCTGAGTATTTAATATGAGATGAACTGATTGTTCCAAGAGAGTGGTTAGAATTTTAGTTATGGCTTTCACCAGTTTAGGAGTGGGGGTGCTGTTTATGGGGCACATTGGTATACCAGTTTTGTAGGTCTTAGGGAGACCATAAAGTTTGGGTGTTCTAGAGTCATATTCTATGAGCCTATACCATGATTTGTTTTCATTTTTAATTCATTTCCTTATATATATATATATATTTTCATGCACACACATGTATTATTGATTTATATAGGTATGTATTTTCATGAGTAATACTATCAAAACAGATGTTTGAACAACAGGTGGTTTAATATCTTCTATAATATCTCTACTATTCTCTCCTTTAGGGTAGATCTGTTTTTTATGTCAACTGATCGGAAATTACTTACTACTTTTATTCTATTTTATTGTGTAGTAATACCAGTGGAGAATACCGCATTTAATAAGGAACTATGTTTCATTACTCCTGCAAAATGTACTTTTGGTCAGTCATACACTCAACTGTGAGAAAATATACTTTCTTGTAATTTTAAGAGGAAAATTGCCTGATGGATATTGCATATTTATTTGGGAAGTAGCACACTAATCTTTGTCATTTCTCTAATTTCTTTAAATATATTTTCTATTAAGTAACTTGCTTAGCTTTAACTACTAATGTACTTAAATGTAATTAGAGTTGGGTTAGATTACCAATAACACTGTAGCCAGTTGATAATAATTCTATATTTCAGTATTAACTTATACAAGTAGGTATTTTGTGGAATATTTTTTATTTTTAGTGGATGCACTATGTTTATCTTATTTTCAGTTACGAATAGATTACTGAAAATGTAATTCTGTTGTCAAGAAACATTTGGGACAAACTTATTTTCTATTTGTTTTTAATTTTATGACAGATTAAAAAAAGACAGTATCTGTAATAAGTAATGTTTATAGACTTGATAGTTCATAATAAACTTATCTAGTGTAGAGTTTCCTTAGTATTATTCACTTTATATACTGCTGATTGCAAAAATCCTTCTCCATACCAGGTATAATCTAAAATTTATGTACTGTTCAACATGACATTCATGAAATGCAAAATATTCTATAGCATGAGCATTCTATTGATAGATTAAAATATCTTCTGTTTTTCAGACAAATTAACCTTGATATTTTTCTTTGCTTTTATGAATAGCTAAATCTTATATCACTGTCTAATTAATTTATATAATCAGCTAGTCAACCTGAAACAACTTCATTGATATGATGTTTCTATCAACTAAAAAGATGCCTTTGATAGTACAGAAAGGTATTCAGTTAATACTGAAAAATGTTGTAAAGACAAGAAAATGTTTTAAAAATGGCTTCATGAAATGATTATACTGGATAACATTATACTTTGTTGATGAAAAAATCTGTTTTGCCTTACAATAAGAAAAATACTCAATGTTTTAATGACTATTTAGGTGTCAACAGGAAGAATAGATTTATTTGTTAATTTTAATCATGATTTAAATATCATGTCTGTAGTTCTCAGAGTTGATAATTATTTTCTCATATTTTAAATGAACAGTTTTTTCTCTTTTTTTTTTCATTGAATTGAATTAATTTATATGATCAGGCCAAATTTATAGAAAAAATGAACTCAAATATAAAATCAAGATTTAATTTCTTCAAGGTGTGCTGCTTTTCATGTAAAAAAATTCCACTTCAACAAACAATATCTGATTTGGAGTTTTACAATTCAGATATATCTCTATGGGAAAGATTATATAAATCTGTTGACTCAGGTAAAATTTAAAAGAAAATTTTATATAATTTCTCTCTTTAATTTTTGACAGTTTATATTCTTTAAAACAGTTGTCAAGAAAGCTCTCCTAAAGTTTCATTAAAATGATTGACAAGTTACTGCAATTAAGTTTATTATTCAAGTTTTCTTGTGTTCATATAAGTGATTTCTTTTATGGACATAAAAGTATGTAAAAACTGTCAAAATGTCCTATATATCTAACCATAAACCAATGGCTTCTGTTATAAATTATAGTCATTTAAGAATATTTGTGGAGATTTCATAGTTTTTGTTCAGGTTAGGTTTCAACTGTTATGTATATAGCTTCAAGAATTTTTAATTTTTATTTATTGTTTTCATGTTTAAGTATAGTTGTGTTGTCAACAAGGATTTTCCGGAATTGAGTACACGGCCAGGCATGTTGTTTTAAATAAAAATGTTAGAGTTATCATTTAAATGTAGAGTCAAGTGCTGTGAAAGCGAGTTTGTGGTATGACCAACATAAATATTATTTAATCCATTGGATATATATATATATATATATATATATATATATATATATATATATATATATAAATCAACACTACCTCACTGGTAGTTTCTTGTTTTAAGCAATTATCAGATCATCTGATATTCACTTAAAACTGCCAGTCATCATGTGGTGTTGGTTTCTATGTTTACACTGTTTATATCTATAAATGCTCTACCAGTAATATTGAACACTATTCCCAACAAATATTGCAAATTTTAAACAGTTATATGTGTGGAAGAATTTTAAAGTCATAAGTTTTCTCAGCATTTCTTAACTAAATAGTAAATCTGTCAATCATGTAATTCATGTATTTACAAATTTTCAAATAAATATAACATTTTTCAACATTTGATTAAAGAAAAGGAGAGGGACTGAAAAAACACAAAGTGAAGAAATAAATATGTGTTTGTGTGTGTGTGTGTGTGTGTGTGTGTGTGTGTGTGTGTGTGTGAGTAAAATGTCTATACTAAGTGAAAATAAGTAAAAGTAAATGAATAAATGAGTATACTTACTAAGTAAGCTAAAAAATGAATAGAATTTGAGGGAGGGGAGGTGTTTGATTAAATAAAAAGGAGGGATGTCAGAATACCAAAATTGATATAATGATGATGATGATTGAAGGAATAGATAATAAATTTAAGAGCCTTGAGGTGAGGAGAAAATTAGCAGTGAAACAGATATGGGGATAGGATAGGCATTCAGTATATTCATTCAGTGCTGAAGATGAGTGAATGAGGAGCACTGTTAAAGGAATTGAGTTGCATACAGAATAAATGGGAATTAAAATATGAGGGAGAAAAATTTGAGAATAAAAAAAGAAAGAACAAAGGAAAAGCAGAAGAAATTTACAAAGAAAAGTGAAAAGGAGTGGAGAGAAAGAAAGAATAAAAAGAGGAAAGAAAATAATGGAATCAATGCATAAAATTAATAGCTAACATAGAAAGTAATTAGGGAAAAAGAAGTTGAATTATCTGTGGTGACAACATTGGTTGAGGAGAATGGTTGAAGTAGTGAGAATACAAAAATAATAGCACTTGACAAATAAGGATGAAAAGAAGTTAAGTAGAGAAATTAGAGAGGAAGAAATAGAAACTAAGATGAAGAAAAAAAAAGCTGCTAAATGTGAAAACAGGGAGTGTGGAGAGAAATTTGTCATGAACAAGAGTGCACTTCCTCAGGTTTCTTTCCAGACGTTGTGGTTTCAAATTCTTAAAACTCCGATTTTAATTTTTATAAAAGAGTGAAATAAGGGATCTTTTTTCATCTCCTACCACTCATCTCTAATTGAATGTAGTTACCTCCTCTAGCTTTGCACCAATTTTATCATGTTTTTTAATCATACTGCTGTCTCTAATTTGCCCCTGCTTTTAGTTTTATTTATTTGTTAATCGCCTATCCTTTTAGCCCTGGTGAAAGACAAAATATAAAAATCCACCCAATTCTTTAACAGATATTGACAGAACCAATCAGTACATATCACAATACCTTGATATAACATTAGTTACACTACACACCACTGGATTCACAAGTTAAAAGTAATGTCCATACACATGCCAGGAATGTTTGTCTCTCTCTCCTTCACTCTTGGTCTTTGTCATTTTTCACAGAATTCAGCTGGGATTTGAAACTAGCATATCCTGTTAATATAAACTCATTTAATGTTATAATGTTAAGTATACTGTGACCAAAAATTGAAAGGCTCGAAAAGAAAAGCTTAACTAAAAAAACCCCATCCTATCAAATCCACTCTTCTTCTTCCACTTGACCTTTGGTAACTTCCTTTCCAACACCATACAAATCTACTATATTACTCACTCACCACAACTACCATCCCCAAACACCAATTTTCAGCCAAACTAAAGCTTCTTTGAACAGTTTCCAGTGCCTATTCTTTCATTTAAGCTTTCATTTTGTTATTCTGAAAGTTGAAAGGGAGAGGGAGGCAACAATTTACTTCTAAGTTGGTAGTTTTGTTACCAAAATGGGTACCTACAAAAGTAAGTATATAAATACATAGAAAATACATGTATATAGATATATATATAAGTGTTACAGTCTTTATATACAGTTATAATGTGCATGAGGATTTGTGAATATATTTTTATTTATTTCGAAAATAATGAACAGTTGTCAGTTTTATTATATTTTGCATTTTGCATGGATATCCATCAAATTTCTATATTTGTGTGAAAGGTTCAATTTTGTTTCTATATTTATGTAATTTAACTTAAAAATAATGAGTAGCCATCCATTTAAAATTTATATCTTTGTGCTTTAATTAGTTTAAAAATAATGAATTACAATGAATGTAGTTGCATTAATTTTTGTTTTTTGAAATACAGAATTAGCAGTTGAATGTGAATACATAAATTGTCTTGTGATGAATCTTTCACTTTAGATGTACAAGTTTAGAATAAATAAATTTCAGTTTTCATAATTTACTTTTTATTCCTTTTTAACATATTTTCTAAAAATGAATCTATATGTATATGCATAGACAAACACAAATACATGCTTTAGTTAATTATGAAAATAAGTTAATTAAATTATTAATAAACAAAATAAATTAAAATCCTAAAGTATTGCCTGTTTTAATAATACATATATATTCACAGTGACACCTCAATGTGGTGTAATGGTTAGAAAGCTTGTCTTGCTAGATCAATTACAACTGAGTAGTGAGTTCAATCCTCACTGGGTGCTCCATATTTTAGGCCTTGTGCCACATCTAAGCCAGGCTTAGAAAATCACTATATTCACAGTGATATTAATAATTTTCATCAGTTTCATATAAAAATAATTCAAAGTAATTATACACTGAAATATAATTTAGATTTTATTCAAATTTTAGGTTTTGCATAGAATTCAGTCATTAACTGATTCAAAAATGTTATATATAAAAGATTATGTACAAATATTTTATATATCAAAAAGATAATTTCTATGTATACAAAATATAACCAAATGTTATCTCACTTGAAACATACATAAAATATATTTTCCTGTCCATAAAGATACATTTATTGTACTATATTTGACAGGTGAAATATTTAGAATATTTACATCTAAAAAATGAATCAATATATTTATGGATATTTACAAAATAATTTTATATTCCTGTACTATAAAGTTTTCTCATAAAACTCTATCTATCATACACCCACACACATTTTTTCTATGGTAAATTTCTATCTAGGATCACACAATATATCTCCTTTCCTTAGAAAATTAATGTTGATACAACGTGGAATATATAGTAGCAATAGAAAGCTGAATTAAATTGGCTTGATAAATTGGATGTCAAAATTTAAAAAAAAAATAAAGCTAAAAGCTCCTGTTTTAATGTTTTTGGTGTATAATTATAATCAGCATTTGTTGTATTTCTCCCCCTCTTCTGTATATATGACTCCCTCAATAAAACCATTATTACTTTGAAGAGGTTGTTTCTAACAAAACAAATTACTTAGGAGTTTTCCCATTTTGTCACTTGATTATCCACTCTGATATATAAATTTATATATCATATATATATATATTATTTTTCTTTCTTACACTTTTTAAGTTTACTTAATAATTAGATATGTATACATGTTATTTTTATTTAAACTTTTTTTGTTCTGTTCAGCTTAGAGTTTTGATGACTATTGCTAAAGATTAAGTAATTCCTCTCTTACCAATATTCTGCCTGTCTTAGCAGTGATGTCATCTAGATAGTTTCAGTTCATTCTTGGATCTCTAGTTCTTCCTATCTTTTTTGCGAGGCCCTTTGTGATCATTTATGATATGATGCTCCAACAATGTAGGGATAGCCATGATCTTAATGTTTCTTTTTTTTTTAATTGAGATATTTGTTGAGTTTTCACATTCTATTAATTTATTCTGATTCCTGGAATAATGAAATCCACTATCTGACAGGTTATCTACTTTTTGATTATAATAAGATCCGGCTTTCTGGTTTACATGGTTAATTCATATTCATTTATTTTTATCATCATTGTCATCCTCATCATCATTTCTTAAATTTAGATATTGAGATACAGATTTTCATATTCCTGACATTTCAAAGCCTAAAAGAAAACAAATTATCTAGCAAAAACTGATTGATCAATTTATGCACTTCAGTGCTCATTGTTATAAAAATAATTCACCGTTTTGAGATGCCTCATCTCAGTTTCTTCCAGTAGCTGGAGTACAGTCCCTTTATATTGCAACTCACAACTGCTGTTTTACATTAGAGATCTTTCATCTCCACTTTATATCTTTTAAAATCTCTCTTTTTGTTAACTTTTATGAGTGGGATATGTATATGCTAACACATTTAACAGTACTATTGATACAGGTTTATTTTAAAAGTTAATTAGAATTAGCTAAAAGTGAGCATCAAATGCATCTTTCTCTAAAATCTTTTTCAAGTCATTTAGTCATAAACTGAATATGGTAATTTTATCAATATTTCTTTACTTCTTCCTTTCTCTGTAATGTGTTATTACCTTTTCTCAACACCATGAATAGCACAGATGAAAATTATGTTGCATTATTATTTCTCTTGATTTTATGTATCTGTTACCATGAACAACCATCTTGAAAATAATATTTAAAATAAAATCAGTGTATCTTACTTTGTTTAATCTAAACAAAAACAATTTAGCTAATGGTAAATGTTGTTCATGCTTAATTTCAAGGACAGTTTTTATCTTAGATTTGTAGATTCTAGCAAAACTGCAAATTACAAGTTTATGTAAAAAAATGATAATGACACAAAAATTTCAAAGATGTCTATCTTATCAATAGACAGCTTTTCTAGGTAAGAGATATTATGTTAGAATTATTCCACTGTATGCCAACTTCTGGAAATTATAATAACAAATACAGACTAAACCACTCAACATCTTTTTAGCACAAAGACTAACTCACTGCAGAAATAAAGAATGCATCAATACACTAACAAACATTTTTTAGTAATCATGAGATGTTAAAAGTCATAACACTGATTTAAAAGCTAATTAATCAATTTCAAAATACATTGATCAAGAAAAAATGACAAACAAATCTTGAATCCATTTTATCTCTTTCTAATAATTATAATTGTCGGACTTTGTCCATTTCATAATGTATGTAAAGGTATATTAACTCTGAACCCCTATACACGATTAAGAATCTTCCTGCATCTATGTTATCATGCTACACTTACATGCTTAATAGGAGTGGGGTGGGAACATATTTTTAGTAAATTTTCTGAACCCACTGAGCTTATTAAAACCAGCCCATCTATTAATTTTGCACTTTTCCCAAAAAATTATTGTTTCCTGTTAAAACAGGAAACAATAATTTTTATAGTTGGTTCAACTTTTTACTTCCCTGTTTTTATGCTATGCATATTTTATGATGTGATACATGTTGAAAGATTCTAAATTTTAAAAATAGTGTTCCATTTTCTGACTTGACATTTATTAAGAATGCCTATTTCTTGCATATTGATAAAAATTCCATAAGACCTCTCCTTGTATTAGGTGCCTAATAGTACCCACTTACAGGTAAAATATTTCATGATCAAGTTGTATACTGCAGAATAGCACAAAGCTTACAGCTAAACTTTCCTCTTTATTTAATTTAATGTCTAAATAAATCTTTTTGTTAATATTGTAACATAAAACCTTTATTTTGATTGTCAGTTAATAATTTTTTTGAATGTTTAAAACTAACAAAATAGTTTTTTTTATTGCAACAAATTGTGACCATGGACACCCACCCTCTATTTACATTATACACAAACAGTGACATTTGAAAACAGCTATTTATAACCAATATATTTATTTCTGGTGTTTTATCATGACTCATGGTTGAAAAACTTATTACCTAAATAAATAATTTTGTATTGACACCTAAAGTAAAACTTCTTATAATATTTTCAGTTTTTTTTTTTGATCAAGAACAAATTTTCTTTAAATAAATCAGTTATTTTTCAAATGTTTCAAATAAATAGACAAACCAATATTTTTATTATAATTCTTAATGAGGAAAGATTCTGTAAATATTTATCAACATATAAATGTTTATGTTAGTTGTAAATGTAATTACATATGTGCTTAATTCAAAATTGGAGTGAAGGTTTTATTCATAAATTTTCTATGATAAATTGTGGTAAACTATTTATGAAAGATAATGAAAATAAATATCCTAAGTTTCACTGTCAACTTTTAAAGTATCCACCTATTTTCTGTTTTTTTTTTTAGATCACCGTTTCTTTTATTTATATCTATAAGGAAATGAATAGGATAAATTTTAATATTTTAGATGTATGTGAAACTAGCTGGGTAAACAATAGTTATTTTGTTAGTGACAAACACAGGATCATATATGCAGGTGAAAAGAAAAAAAGAGAAAGGAGTAGGACTGATATTAGACCAAAACATATCCATCAAAAGTGTATATGCACTGACAGTCCATATTGCAGAAGAAGAAATTGAAAAGTTTTACTCTATGCTAGACAACACCAAAGCTCAATGCAAATCACAAGAAATTACAATTGTCATGGGAGACCCAAATGCTAGATAGGCAAAGAGCGAGATAATGACATAGCTGGTATATTCAGACAAGGAATTCTTAATTAACATGGAGAAAAATAGGTCCAATGGTAGAGTATTTACCATCCACCCTCATTATTTAAGAGTTAACTTAATTATATGTTATTATTTATGCAAAAAAGCAAAGGCCAGGTAACAATGTATTTAACAATTTTAAATACATTTTTGCTGTTTTAGTTTTGATAGCCGATAGGAAACGCTATATTTCCTTCTCTGACACACATATAAAATATTTTCATATTCGACTAAATTGCATAAAGGAGAGGATTAATACAAACTGCAGTTTGTATTAATCCTCTCTTTGTGCAATTGTTTGGTGTTGCAACTATAACATGTAAAACATTGTCATCCAGTGGCCATTTAAAAAAAAATTACAAGAGAAGTTTAAAATTTAATTCAAGAGCCAAAAATGT